GCCTTCTTGGTCAAGTTTGCCTGAGGCTGTTCATTTCACAGTCCTCTGGTTCAGATAAGTTAAGCAATCAGAAAAGCATCTTATTTCTACCCTTCAAATTGCATTTCCTGTTGCTTTTTCTTCAAACGTTAGTTTGAAAAGCTGCATTAAAAAAATAACTGACTCTGCAGTTTGCTTTGTTTTACCATTACACCTCTCTGGAACAGAAGACAGCCTGAAACAAGACTAAATAAGCAAAGCCAGCGGAGTTTTTCTCCTTCAGGGGCCAGGTACCCGGGGCTTGCAGATGCCCCTGGGACATTTAGGGGAAGTGCTCACAGATGCCAGGACTGGAAAATTTACAGATTTGCTGCAAAAGGCCAGAGAAGGAGGAGCATGGAAAATGTTCCCTGTAGCAGACAAGCAGCCGATTTTCACCCCTGCTCCCGAGGGTCTGTGAGTGAGAGATGCGCCACTGCTTCAGGCAAACCCGGTCTCACACTGGGGCTTTGTGGGCTTCAAATGCTGCTGTGTTGTACAGCACAGCTTCCAGGGAGCGTTGTCCTTGTTTCAAGCATCTTCCCTGAAGGGAAATGCATATCCGTAGTAATAACACCAGCAAATAAAGCCAACCTAGTTTTACCATTCAAATATACGTAGAAATAATTGCATTAATCAACATAATGTGGATGCCCCGTCCCTGGGAGTGTCCAAGGTCAGGTTGGACAGGTCTCTGAGCAGGTCTAGTGAAAGTTGTCCCTGCCCACGGCAGAGGGCTTGGAACTGTATAATCTTTAAGGTCCCTTTCAACCCAAGCCATTCTATGATTCTGTGAAAATAGAATTGAGGAGAAAAATTAGTTTTCTGTTTTACCTAATGCGAGACACTTCATAGCACATTTGACATCATCTCCCAGCTAATGAGAGTAAATTCAGCAGTGTCTTTTTGAGAAATGCGTCTTTGCTAGTACGAAGCAGCTACTTCATCTGGAAGAGGTCAGATTCAGGCATCATTAGTCAGAAGTGCTGCATGCAATCTTTGAAGCCCTCACTTCTGGACAGGTGGCTTCTAGCTGACCACAGCTACAGCAGTGAGGAAGATACTTGACAACTTTATGCCTTCTTCTGTCACTCTGACTGTTGGAGCCACTTGTCTGTACGTTATAAAACATCAGACATCTTCCCTCCATTATCTGACAGTGAGATGAATCTTACCTGCTGGCGTGATTGCTGCTTTCTGGCCAGCAATATACTCATTTACTGAACACATCGTGTTCAAAACTGACTGAGCTCCAAAAGAAATCTCTCATCTCTTTACAGCTCCCATGCTGGAGTTAGGGAAGAATGGACAAAATCGCATGTTGAAGTAAAATAACACAATCAAATTACTGTATAGCAACCAGGAAGAAACTAAAATAGAAACGCAGTCCTGTCTCATTCTGGAGCTGAACCACAGCCAGTTTGCAGTCTCCTTTTCTCTGGTGCACCCTTACTGTGATAGAAAACCCGTTATCCAAGGGTACCCTGGAAAACCACCTGTAACAGATTCCCAAGTTGTAAATACAAGAGGAGTTAGTTATATGGAAAGGTTGACTTTACATACATGTTAAAGTTCAAAGATTTTTTGGAGACAGCTTTGCCACTAGTGAAAATGTATTTAAGAAGCCAGACATATTTTCATGGTAAGCTTATTTTATGATTCTAATAAATACAAATAATAATTATTATTGTTACCTGTGGACAAAAAAAAATCTGCTTTGTTGTGTAAAACATGAAAGGAGACATAATCTCCTCTAGTTCAAGAGGTCTCAAATCTGCTGAACACTTGAAAATTTTGGACACAGAAATTCCTAGTACATGCAGCGTTTTCCAAGGTATCTCAGTGGGATCATTCTTCACAGAAATCTCCTTTTCCTGGAGGGCAGAGCTGATTCCCTACTCTCTCCTTGGGTGCCTGCTTTAGTCAAGCACCTGTTAAGGAAAGCTGGACCAGAATTCAGAGACTTCCCAACCCTAATGAACTATAACACCTGCATGGCCAGAAAGGGAAAATAGAAAAGCCGGTGAAAAACCACCCTGCCCAAACCCCTAGGTAGTTCAAATGAGTGCTGACAGAACTAATTAGTTGTTTCTAATTTGCTGAATCCAGTCCAATAAACATGGCCAATTGGTTAAAGTCTTTGCTCCAGGATCAGACAAGCATCCATCATCCAGACTGGGTGCTCTTAGACAGCTCATTGCATTTGAGCGGTGGTTATCGATTGACAAAACCCTTGGCCCACAGTTTGCAAAACTCTGAAATTTGTCACCTGGCTTTCAGAGGCACCAGACAGTCAGTGCTGTTCCCCTCAGGGGAATCTGGAAGCGGCTTGGCATTTCTGAGATTTGGGCCATTTACTTAGCTGGGTAAATGTGGATTTACTTCCTTTTCAAATTCACAGGGGGTTTAAATGCTTACTAAATCCATGCCATTTCATGAAAATAAGAGATTGCAATGTAAGATAGGCTAATGCACTTTAGAGAGCTGTGCTCAACACATTTTCTTCTGGCTGTGCTAGTCCTGGTCCCTCCCTCTATGTAGTCCATCTGCCTCAGCAGGGCATAGAAAGATTTATGCACTGACAAAGGTGGCTCAACCTGCTAGTGCCTGCTTCACTCCTTGGTGAATTAATTTTAGGAAGGATCGTGGATCCTTCTGAGGCTCTCCCCTCTCTCCTTCCCTCTCTCCCTCCCTGCAGTGCTGGCTGGCTACAGCATGACCCTGCAGACCACAGTGCCTCCAGACCAGCCCCAGGGCACTCTGCATCACGGCTGGGTGCCATGGTCAGACCATGACCCAATTCCTCCCATAAATTGCATAGAACTCTTCCTCTCCCCAAAAGGGGAGGATGCAAACCATGAGTTTTCTTCACTAAAGAATAGAAAAGGAGGCTATATCAGAATAACTAATTATTTTTGCTAATAAAATCTGACTGTCTCTCTTGAGCAAATATTATCTTCCATAGACAGAGGAAGATAAATTGTGATGACTGTGATGGTACCAGCACTCCGGTAGTGCTGCAGCCGCGTTGCTGGCTGTGCTTTTGTCTTCTGCTTGCAAATTGCTCTGCTTTCAGAAAACACTGCCAGTACTGGTGCTGTCAAAACCAACTCTGTGTTACAGGGGTTTTCCCCTTTTCTGTGACCTTGGTGGTAATTAAGTGTCTCGTTCTCACAGGGAAAAAATGTGAAGCATGAATTGGACCTGCTGGCCTGGCTGCTGATTTATGGGTCAAGTCTCTAGCTGTTACAGACAAAATTTTCAAGTCTCTGATTAAGAAACCCTGCTGATTTAAGGATCTCACAAGAAATGTGTGCATAATGAATTATCTACAGATGATAATTCAAATTATTCCTTGATGATTCATATCACCTTCCTTTATTAAATTACCATTTTAGAAGTCTAACAAGGGTAGTGCAAGCTGACAGGTGGTGACATTACAACGTATATAACAGGTCAGCCAAGCAACATGCTGTGAGTTTGGGTAAGTGGTATTTGGTTCTAATCAGAGATGCCAACAGAAAGCAAAGGCTGAAGGAGATACAAAAGTCAAACTGGTATCATTAAGGGTTAAATCTCAACATCCTGCTTGTCTGCCTTTTATTCATCTGAACCTGTGGTAACTTTTTTCCTCACTTGAGTAAAAGTGTCTAGCTAACAGTCTGCAGTAATGTCCTGTTCCATTATGAGTAGCTATATTAGCATAAGGTATTAATATTAGTACTAATTGCAGTATTATTTACCAGTAATAAAATGGCAATATCTATTCTTGCTTAGGGAACATTGAGAGCTACCTGACATCACCAAAATCTATACGTACGTGGGTAACATGTTACAAAGACCTAAAAATGTGCAGCAGATGACCAATATTTTTTCTTTCTGGATTCAGGATTAGCAGAGGCTTTTTAGATCTTAAACCTACATGCTTGGGAACCTAGAAATACCTACTCTGTGTCCTCTGGAAGGGGTGTATAGAAAATGAGTGCTGCAGACATCACGTGTCTCTTATGATCTAATGGCAGAAGGAAACAGTGAACCTGAGCAGTGGGAACTGGGAAATGCAAATGCACTGAATCTGACATTGCTTTAGTGTCATGTAATATTCTTCTCCAAGCAAACACATGATAGCAATCACTGTCTCTACATCTGACACACATCAGGAAAGTACTAGAAAATGTAATTAGCCAGTGTTAGTCTTCACCATGACATGTCCCTGTAAGAAGGCTCCACTTATTTCTGTGCTTCATAAGCTGATGTGAGAAGGGTCTCAGAAGGAGCCCTGTACCTTCAACCTTCTCCAGCAGTGCCATTTTCTCATGGCTGGGTGTCACCCAGCGAACACAGAGCAGGTGGCAGGGGATGGCCTGGGCTACAGCAGTCGTGTCATTGCAGCTCTGGCAGGGTTGAAGGATCTGCTCCCTGTCACCATGTGAGCATCATCCCAGGTGGGGATCAACCAAGCACACAAGGGAAATCAGAAAATGTGTCTGCATTTTGAAGGTGCAAAATAAGTGGCAAAGGTAAGACACAGTTCCATATCTGCAGCAGTTTCACAAAGAGATTGTGCTGTTCCTGTGAAACATTAGCTCTGCAATTGCTTAAACCCTAGGGTTTTGTATTATCTGGCCAATACATATGCTAAAAATGAACAAAACCATATTCTGGACTTCAATAATTTTTACATTTCATTGTCTGTAACAAGTGTCTTCCTGGCAATAACTTAGTAAGCCCAGCAAAAGAAGACTTCAGCAAATGCATTTAAAATGTAATTAATATACAGAAAACCAGACCATAACAGCTTGTGCAAGAAAAATTACTTTCAGCAGGATGATTTCCATATTTTCCACAGGGAAATCCTGGGAGAATTATGCATGTATGCTTATGAAGTGCATGCACAGTAAAATCCAGTGTATTCTGGACACCCTGGGCTTTGCTGAGCTTCCTGAAATCCTATTCAGCACACAGAGTTCAGCCTGACCCTTGGCACACAGAAGTCAATGCACCTTCACTTCACAGCACATGTACTTTGGCTCGGAGTCTGCCAAATCTTGGGCTAGAACCAATGCCCCAGGTGAGTCCTCAGATGCCCTAAAATCCTGAACAACTGCCCCAAGAAGTTTCTGGCTGGAAAAAAATGCTCTGTTGAGGCAGTAGGGGTGGTGGCTGCTCTTGGAGCTTGAGAACATACGCTCCAAAACAGTATAAGCAGACAAATCAAGCCCCAATGATGCCTGTCTTCAGAGGACACTAAAAAGTATTTGTGAATTGCTTTTTCTTAATTTGTGACTTTTCTTAATTTATGAACCAATTGCTTTATAGCCCATATGAAAATGCTGTTGAACCATAAAATCGTATTAGCACATCTCTGTGCTTGGGAGAGGGGCATAATTTATCTATGAGACTGGCTTTTCCATAGCCAAAAACCTCCTGTAACACCAACTCCTTCAGTCATAGCAACAAACTGGTACTTGTCACCATCCAATCTCATTACGTTCCCCTTCACTTGATCCTAATTATTCTGCTATATTCTTACCTCAAAATTCTTTTTCAGTAAGCCCTAACCTCTTCTAGAGTACCATTTTCATTTGAAAAGCACCTCCAATTTAATTCCAAACCCCACTTCTTCTCTAAGCTGCTTTATCCCTCCAGACCTCTTAATGTCTTTCCTGTCTCTCCCCGTCTGTCTCTCTTACTTTTAATGTATTATCAGGAGCATTCCTGTATATGTGTGTGTGTGTAAGCATGGATGTAGTTACCATGATCCTTCTCAAAAGCTTTCATTAATTTTCAAGAGCTCTGGACTTACTTCTGGGATATTACTAAGACAAAATACACAAGTGATTTCCAAAACTCCCCAGAAGCACCCAAAGGATTCAGCCATGTCAGGCCACTGAGGTGGTGCTTGCCAAAGACAAAAAGACAATGCTTGTTTTGGATGGTTTTGTTGCAGATAAACCAGTGGGCTAATACTAGGGCAAGCACTATCAACAGGTTTTGTGATAAAGCCAGTTAAAGAAAAAGACCTACAGCCACTGGAAAATCTCCAAAGGTGGCAGAGAAAGCAGGTAAATATGTGGATCAGAGAAACAGTGAGTGTGGCTCCAGCTGGGGACAGGTTCATGGAGGAGCTGTGGTACCTGACCCAGGCACAGGCAGAGCTGTGGGGAGAGGCTTTAAATCATGCTGAGGGGGACTGTGGGTCCAAGCATACAGACAGAAGAAATGAAGTGTGGCAATTGAAGCCATTAAGATAGCATTTCCTAAAGTGTTTTTAAGGATGAATTGCAATTCGGTTCTTTGCTTACTTAAAGAAAAAAAATATTCTTCCATTAGCCGGCAGCGTAATCTTAGTGGTTTCAGACAGTTCTGCTTAGTCATGGACACTTTCTGCATGAAAAAATTGTGCAGCCTATAAACACTTGTATCTAATTTTTATATTTTTTTTCCTGCACTTCTAGAGGTGAAGTCAACCCAAATCAGTCTCATAATTAATTGCATCTCTCTATGAATGTAAACTGTTTTACAATCATTTTCTAAATTTCTCATGTGGGACCTTTAGCATCTAGCTCTCTTCTTAATGTCTATCATAAAAATGTAGCATTCTTGTAAAACAACTGTTAAAATTTCTCTAATAGGTCTCTTAGATTCTCTCTCAGCAGGAGTATTATCTTCTAGTCTATCATGCTTTTCTTTTTACCTCTCGAGGTCTGTTTGTTACGAAAATTATTCAGTTGTAAGTTGAGCTTCTCTCCTTTTTTTAGTGAGATCTGAAGGAGAAGATGAGAAAGAATTATTTTCAAGAGTGTAGCTGGAAGAATGAAAATAAAAGCTAAGAGCTAAAAAATTCATATTACTTATTAAAAAGCTTAAATGCTAGAACCCAGGCTATGAAGTGCAGAGAACAGTTGTTTACCAGCTCTTCATTTTAATGGCTGCCAAAGATTAAAGTGGTTAATAAAGTGAGGTTTCAGAGCAGAAAGAGCAATGCTCCATCCCTGGAAGTATTCAAGATTAGGTTGGATGGGGCTTTAAACAACTTGATCTGGTTGAAGATGTCCCTGCCCTTGGCAGGGTTTGAGAAGGGTGGAAGTAGCTGGTCATTGAAGGTCCCTTATGACCCAAACTATCCTGTGACTCCATGATTACAGGATTCTTGTGAAAGTATTTCATGCTAGTAATTAAAATTATCTTAGTGCCTCGCTGATGTTTTGGTAGAGAGACAGGAAGGGCACAGGCTTGCCTACCTGGTCCTCCTGGCTGCCCACCTCCCTTTCTGTACCAGTCACCCCCTGCACTGCTCTGAAAGAGGGGCAGAGCTCCTGGCTGCACTGCCTCGAGCATTTCTACCGGTACTTCTACCAAACCCTGCAGTGTGGATATAACATTACACCTCTTGTAGAAAATTTTTCAACTACATGACTTCCCAAAAATGGTTACTTTTCAATTGGCACTCAGAAAACTGGAGTCACACTGAGGTTTTCATAAGTTATGCTTCTTCATGTACAGTTCTAGTAGTCTCTGAATTCCTGGAAATTTATTTTGGCGTAATCAGACTATTTGACACGGGTTCTCTCAGTTCTGCACTGTCGTGTTTCCATGTTTGAATGCACCCACTTGTTTAAAATGTATTTCTTTTTCCACTTTCTTATTTTTCACATTATCCTTCACTGCATTTATCTATGTATTTGCGGATGAAAAATTAGCCTTGCAGACCACTTCACTCTCCTTGTCAGAATATTTGCTCTGCTCCTGTAGTGCTTCCCTGTCCTTTCTCTGCCCTGTCCTAATCCTCTGCCTCCTTTCTGCAAGTAGCAGGTTGAGGCCACCCATCTCCAACCTTGTCTCTGCCTTCTGCTTATATTCTCTCTCCTCACACCTCTTTCATCATTCCTCTTTTGCTTTAGAAATCTTTACTTGCCCTCATCCCGTTTGTGGGAATGACTTTCTGAAGGACACGTTGGTGGCAGGTGATGGCAATTGCTGAAGGTGATGTTACCTCACCTCAACATGTCACCTCTCCTTCCATTAGAGAACCATTATGTTTATTGCTTATGGCATTTCCAAAATCTCATAAGAACTTCAGAGCAACTGAATAGAGTTGAGTTATGTTGAATGAAGGACAAGAACTTGGTAGTGTTGGAAGAAGGACTGGTGTTCTCACACATAGAAGAGGATGGAGGCACAAGGACAGGGTGGGTCATGATCCTGCTCCTGCCCCCTGGGATATCACAGAAGGTGACCAGCTCCACAGCCAGGAGGGACTTCCACTGTAATGGGGTCAGCAAAAGGCACTTGGACACCTTTGACATCCCCCCGTCATGGCCTGTGTGGGGATGCGCCCTTATGGGACACAGAGTAGCACATTTTAGGTCTGCATGTGACTTACAGGCTGTTTCAGTGTGGAGAGGGAACCCTAGATAGGGAAAGAGAGGGATCAAGGCATTTTGGGGAGGAACAATCAAGGAAGAACATGAGTGAAAAGGGATAAAATGGCGTGGTTGTGCACATAAGTCGCTGGTCACCATGCTTGTCTGACCCTACCCTGCCTTTGGCCAGCACAGTCTGTCCTTGTTTTCTCATTAAACACCACTTCTGCCATTTTCCTCTGTGTGTGTGTGCTGGGGTGGTCTGAGTGGCAGCAGCTGGAGTGGGACCCATAGGCCTTAGTGCCCATGTGCCTGTGGGCCACCAACGGAGCATGTGAAGGGGTGTGTGTGTGTCACACATGTGTCAGCAGTGAACATCAGTCTGGAGAGTAAGTCGAGTGGTCTGGGAGCCAAGGACAGACCAGGGGGTCTACCAGTTGGCTACTAGAGGGACCATGAGATTCAAGCCAAAAACTGGGGTGAGTGCAGGGTTTGGAGGTCCCCTGAGACACCTGTTTGTGTGTGTGTGTGTGTGTGTGTGCATATACACACACATGACTACTGGCAGCACTTGCTCTGCTGGGTCTGGGGGCACCCAGCAGCTCCCTATGGGTACGGGCTGTACAGGGGCTGGGCAGTGTCATGACTGTCTCCTGTCTGAACACCGGCTGGTGGATGATAGCAGAGCTGAGCTCATGTTGATAGCCTTCAAAGATCCACACGTGCTGTCTAAACAGGAGGAAGACCTTGATACAGACTGTCAACCCTCAAATCCATCCTGCTTCAGCTCACCTGGAAAACATAGCTCTGCACCGTAAAGATGTAGTCCCTGGTGAAACCTCTTCACGAAGGAATAAAAAGAGAAGAAGCTGTAACATAAGTCAGTCTGCTATTGCTCAGTGTTTAATATTGGCTTTGTAAATACAAGTGTTTGCAATCAATAGCTTTAAATTCTATTTCTGCCTAGGTACCTTTAAGTGAGAAATAACTAAGATCCCAGTTTTGGACCAAATGATGAGAAAGAGTCATTAATAGTTCATAATACTCAATCTCTATGGCCTTGGATTACAATTTTAATACAGCATGCCTCACTGCTGGGTGTTCTAACTCACGTGTAATCAGCCATTCCACATGCATGGCAGAACAGGGAGGTATTTCCCCTCAAAGGAGTTGAAAGAAAACAGACATTCAGGCCACCCTGGAGATTTGTCATGCATAAAAGCCACCAGACTTTGCACCTTCAATAAAGTGAGGAGAAGATAAAGCCAAATGTACTATAATCCCTCTGAAGTAAAGGGTATATTGGAATTCCTTGGATAGATACCTATTATGCTTCCTACCTTCCTGCCTCTTAGGAGAGGAGGGGAACTGGAGTATCCCAGCTTCCATAAAGAAGTATGGAGAGGCTTTAGCAGAACTCTGTGCCAGAGCGAAAGCAACAACCTCATCTAATTTTACTTGGGCTTTGACAGGTTACAGGGAAAAGAATGAAGTTAGGGTGTGGCAGCTCTATTTTCTGGAGCTCTGAGCCCCACATGCACTTGTTCAGGGATAGTGAGTCTCTCTGGCCGCTTACTCCTACCTGAGTGGGAGCTGCAGCCACCAGCAGTCACAGGTGTGCCACAAGTTGTCAGGAACTTCTGCCTCTTTCTGTGCTATTTTTGCTCCTTTTCCACCTTACTTTTTCTTTGCCTCAATGTTTTCATTCTTCTCCCCACATGATTGTTTTCTTCCCTTCCTTGCTTCATCCCTTGCCTCTCCATCATCTCTCTGCCCTCAGCTGTGCCCTTGGTCCCTGGTAGTTCTCCTTTCATTCCCTGACTGACCTTGTCATCTCTTTCTCCTCCCTAACTCCTTTTTTGTTAATATGCTGAGGTAGAGCAGAGCAGTATTTTGGCTGGAAGCAGTGTCTTCCCAAGGAAATTTCTTTCCCTGGGCCATTCCGTGTCCCTTTGCGCATGGAGTTGAAACAGTGACTTTGCACATATAATCTTTCCCTTTCTTTCTCTCTCTCTCTCTCTCCTCTTCTACTTCTTTCTGCTGTATCCTTCGTATTCTGTGTGCACTTGAACAGTGTCATAGCCTTCAATCTGATTACAAATTAGTGCAGCTCTGTCAAAGCCAGCAGACAGGGCTGAATTAAAGGCTCATATCAATGCAAAGTGAAAAAGGAAGCATCTTTTTTGTAGTAGGAGACAGACCTGATACAGAATGATGAAAAAGTAGAGTGGATTAATAAAGAGGACAAGGAAATGGTAGCAAGAGCGCACTTCATAAGCCTACCACTCTTCCATGGCTTTTATGAATTCCTGCAATATTTGCTAGAATAATAGAAAGGAGCAGCTGCAGGGAAAGGCACAGACAAATTACAACCCACTAGTAATATCTGTATTCAGGACAGGTCTGAAATATACTCAGATAGTGGTCTGTGGTATATTAAATTATAGTGTATATTGCATTAACCTATGGTTAGTTACTGCTCTGTCACAAACACTGCACTGTCTTGAGCACTTACTTTGCATGAGGCTTTCAAGGACAGTAGGATCTGCACAGCTTCAGACAGGTCTATATGGCTGGATATAGATGGACCTGTGCTCCCTCCAGCCATGCTCAAAGTTGTTTGGGCAGAGAAAGAGCATGCCCAGGGCTATGTATGTGTGGCTCTATGCATGCATATATGTACTATATATAAGTAAAAATATAAATTTTGGCATAAAAAAAAAAATCCTGCTTCAGGACAGACTTAAATACTGGATGTTCTGGGTTTTTTCTTATGAAAAAACAATCAGTGAGTAAGCTCACACCTCAGAGTGCTGCACAGGTCCTGATTTGCAAATGCTTTTTTTCTTTTTGGATTTTGAGTAATGATTACGGTTCACTTTTTCTCTCCTCCCCCGGGCTGTGTCCTGTGCACAAACCCATTGGCTGATAGAGACACTAGGAGTGGTTTGCCTCCCTGTCCATGTCTGAGCAGCAGTTCCACCCTGGACTTGGTAAAACACCAGCCCGTCCCTCACACTGAAGAAATTCACAAAAAATCATACTGAGAATTCAATTTTCTGCCAGTTTAATGACACTTAAATATCTGCTTTCTAAGGCATCATGGAGACTCTGACACTGTGTACACCT